TCGTTCTCGAAGGTCAAGTGACAGAATATCTCCTCAAGACTCCAGCACCCTCCGCAGTATTTATTATCATTTTTACTTATTGAGTTTTCCCACCGTTAGTAAAGTCTGGATTTCATTGGAGATCAACTAAGAGACTGTTTCCTCAATAATCCAGTCAGAACCTTCCTTATCATATACCCATGATGACACACAGTCTGATAACAGTATACAATACACACGTAATATAGCCAAAATGTGTCCGATAGGTAATATGTTTTTTTTTTATATAAGCAACACTTAAGGTTTCAAGTAAGGCCTAGTTAGAAATAATTCGATCCGGGTATCCTAGACCATTCAGAAATTATTCAAGTATTCTCAAGTATCTACACAGACATGACAGAATTGAATAGACGCTCACAGAAACCGTTTATTTTATTAAACAAGTAATTCATACAAATGAATTAATTATAAATGGTCATAAATTTAATAACTAATACTTGGTTGACATCCCTTTTGCTTTTTTTAATGCAAGGACCCTTCTAGGCATGCTAGCGATGAGTTTACGAATATCATCTTGAGGGATTTCTTGCCATGTTTGACGCAATAATCCTAAAAGTTCGGGCTTAGAAGATGGCTTCCTGTTCTTTTTGCCGAGTTTTCGATCTAATATGCCTCAAAGGTGTTAAATAGGGTTAATATCCAGGGACTGACTTGGCCATGGAAGTTTATTGATTCCATTTTGTCTCAACCAATGTTGCGTTGCTTCAGCAGTGTGACATGGAGCTCCATCTTCCATAAATAGGGAGTCAATTTTGCTCATTCTACTACTTAAGAATATTGGAAGGAGCCCTTTCTTTAATATAGAAACATATTTGGTTGAATTAATGTTTCCTTCACACTCCACAAGCTCTGAGCGACCATCACTCCAAATTGCACCCCATACCATTACTGAAAGGCCCCCATGTTTCACCGTTGGCTGCAGTCTTTTTAAATCAAACTCTTGACTACAGAGTCTCCATACGCATACTCTTCCACTGTCAGAAAATAAGGCGAATCTTGACTCATCAGAGAAATGACAGTGGTCCAAAAGGTCATAGGTCTCTCCACTATCTCATGAGACCAATCCTTTCTGCGTTTGATATTGGCTGGACGGAGAAGTGGTTTGGAGATTTTCTGCCATAGTAGCCCAGCTTTTTGAAGATACCTGACAGCTGTTCTGGGACTGACATCAACTTGTGTTGCTATGTCAGAGGCCTTGCAATGCTGATCCTGTTCAACATTTCTTTCGACAAGATACATGGTTCTTTCAGAGGGCCTGGATGAGATTTTCTGCACTTCTTGCCCTCTCTGGTGAATTGTACGATCACTCTATTAACAGTAGAAAGGGGTATTGAAAGATTTTCAGATATTTTTCTTTGACTAAGACCCCCTTCATGTTGGCCCACGATACGTCCTCGCTGAAATTCGGATAGGTCTGATTCTCCTTTGGTTCTTCGTGGCATGTTTCAGTATTGTTATCTGCAATTTTAATCAAATAATCAAAGTTAATTTATCTTGGTTATTAAAAAAATCAGAAATAAAATTTATCTTGGTGTCGATTCAATTCTGTCATACCTATATATGTATACTCTATACCTGCCTCATCCTTCAAAATAAAAAAAAAATCACGAAATTCCACGACGTTCTACACATCCTCATAAATAGATACGGTGCGTTAGACTCCTTGGGCATAACCAGTCAACTCACAAATCAACCTATGCTACTAAATATTATTTAGTATATTTTCTATAACACCTTTTTATTAGCTAAGATGAAACAAAATACATGCTATGATTTGTAATCAGTAAAGCTCATACGATATGAGAGCCATTTTATTTCTCGGGGTTTTCGTTTTTAACTGGGAGTCTGGCATCATCGGTACTCGCCATCAACTTGTACGACAACAACCACAGGAAATGAAAAGGCGGAAGCATACATCTGCCGAAACGTCGTGAGTATGGCCATAATGATAACAGTCCGAACAAGGTAAATAGTTACAATACGTCATCTCAGAAATATAGGCATATCCTGAAGAAGGCCGGAGCGTACAACGGCCGAAACGTCGTAAATATAGCAGTAACGATGAGGACAGTAATCTGAACAATGTAAATAGTGTAAATAGTTACACAACGTCATCTCAGAAATATAGATAGATAGTGAGGAAGGCGGGAGTGTATACCGGACGAAACGTCGTGAGTATGGCCATAATGATGAGGACAACAGCCCGAACAATGTTACAATACGTCATCTCAGAAATATAGGCATATCCTGAAGAAGGCCGGAGCCTACAACGGCCGAAACGTTGTAAATATAACAATAACGATGAGGACATCAGTCTGAACAATGTAAATAATTACAACACGTCATCTCAGAAATATAGACATATCCTGAGGAAGGCGGGAGTGTATAACGTTGGAAACGTCGTGAATATGGAAATCATGATGTGTGGTAGTGATGTTTTTAATTTCCGAATACGGTTAGCACATTGTGGCCTTGTTCATAGTTAATATTGTTAAGAGTTGGCTTTTTCTTTTTTATTATTAGAGCTTCCATTATTTTTAGTCTTTTTTGCAAGTGGATGCAGTTAATATATTTGTGTTTTCTACTAGTATGTTCCTAATGGTGTCGGGTAAATCTGAGTGTGTGTTTAATAAATGTGTTCTGATGGAGCTGTGATCAGATAGGTGTAATGTAAGACTACCACACACTGAACATACACAGAACGCACACATTCTACTAAGCTGATAATCGAATCATCCTTGATAATGGCTAAAGGTATAGCCGAAAGCGCTCGGAAATAAGAAAATTCTTGTCAGAACACAAAAAAAATCTAAAAAAAAAAGCTCAACCGTAGTACCTTGTCTGTCGTTTTTAATGAAACATGCATATATATATATATATATCTTCTTTAACACTTAGTAACCGTTACTTGTGTCTTAGTGGTTTTATTGCCTTACTTGGGGTAAAATGGACAAAAACATTATTCCTATTTTCTCAATGTAGGACTTTAAGTTCGCTGGTACAGAACTCTGTACCCCAATAATGAATGGCACAGTAAAGGCCTGAACTTCGCATATAGGGCGTTGTAACCTCGGGAAGGTTACTGAATAGAATAATCAAACGAAGTTTGGTAATGAACGGTAATACTTAGGACAAGAACAACACATATAAGATTCGCCAGCGGCGCGTAGAAGAAGTTGTCAACTGCTAGAAATGAGTCAAGTGAATTCCACAATGAATCTCCAACTGCAAGATATCTACCAACTGCCCCACGAAAAATCTTTTTGTGAAAACAAGGTCGAATTTAATGTTAGGTATCCGATTTTGACGTAGTCTATATAAAAAAATGTAGACCCTGTATAAAACGGGGCCGGGTAACTGTTTCCCGAGATGAGAATCTTCCCTTCGACATAGGTTCGTCTGGGGATACACTCTGTCCGGAATCAGAGAGTTTGACCAGCTCATCTGGAGACGAATCTCCAACTGCAGACCATCATACAGTATTTACTATTGTATTTATGGGAATGAGGGCATACCCATTATTGTCCATAGTTACTCTACAACATAGAGCAACTTCTATTTATAACTGACTGACTGATTACTAATGATCTTACTATAGGAACGCATTGAAAATAAAGAAGAGAGGTATTGTCAGTGGTCAGGAATGAAGGCAAGCATTACTGAGAGAATAGAGTATGTATAATGTAAATACCCTTGGGAAAGGTATAAATCCTCTTCTTCTCCCTCCAGCTATGAGTAAAGAGCAGGACAGACAGGGTTCTATAACCTTGAATGGCAACGGGCCTACCACAGAAAGAAATAGCAATCTACTGCGGAAAAAAAAATCTGCCTCGTCACTCATATATCGAAAGATACATGATCGCCTAAGCGTGCATTACGCATGGCACATAACTGACTGACTGAAATATTTGGAACACAATTTTCGAACCTGTATCCTATACGGAACCGTCATTTAGCTTGACGTGCCATAACCGATTGGGTTAGCAAAGTCGAATTTACTGTATTTAAACTTCAATCTTCCATGAATCTCTCACGTACATTCATATCTGCTCATGGCGCATTATAAACTTAAATATTTCACCGATTTCTTTATCTATTATATATATATATATATATATATATATATATATATATATATATATATATATATTCCGTATAGGATACAGGTTCGAATCCTGTCAGACGACGAATATTTTCTATGACTATTTCTCGGACATTCAGGCCGGTAAATGTTGTTTAATACTGTTTATTATAAACAGGCATTTATTAAATATTTTATCCATAAAAAAATGTGTAAACATAAAAATGTCTTAAAATAATTGTCGGACGTTTTGTCCATAATCTTAATAAATAACACACACACAAAATACACACACACACATATATATATATATGTGTGTTTTATATGTGTGTGTGTGTGTGTATGTATAAGACATTTTTTTATGTTTATACGTTGTTTTTATAGATACAAATATTTAAGTGAATTGCAGAACAGACCGGGTTCTATAGTCTTGGATGGCAGCTGATCTACCGCAGAAAGAAATGGCAACCTACTGCGCGAAAAACCTGCCTCGTCAATCATGAATCGAAAGATACATGATCGCCTAAGCGTGTATCACGCATGGCACATGACTGACTGCACATTTCCTTCTAAAAGTCCTTCTTCTATTGGCTCTACAGCCACCATTATTTCTCTTCTTGTCGGAAACGAAATGGATAGACATTTAAATATTCTAAAAGCCAAAAGCCTCTCACTGCGAGCGGTCGTATAATCTAGATGGGGTATTTACAGTCACGTTAATCCGATAGTCGCCATGGTATCTCTTAATATGGCTTAGATCAGCCATTATAATCTCCTACGTGTAGGTTGCGTGGCATTCCCTGCAATATATGCGTTTCCACATTCGGCATTGTTCAGATGAAAAGACGTATGTCGTGGTGAGAGTGGTCAATGTATGGTCTTAGATCATCTCCACTTGCCAATCTCCCGAGAAAGGATCGTTTATACGCGAAGGAGGTGGATAGCGGAGGGCAACAAATACACGAAGAGGGAAAAGATCGTAAAAATGGTGGCAACAGACGGTTTGGAAATTTAGATTGGACAACAGGGAATAAATGAAAAGTTTAGAAAAGGAGATAGCGAGAAAGGGACACAGAAAGAGAGAGAGAGAGAGAGAGAGAGCGATAAGTACATAGATAGATAGATAGATAGATAGATAGATAGATAGATAGATGAGAAACAGATTTTGATAGATAGATAGATAGATAGATAGATAGATAGATAGATAGATAGATAGATAGATAGATAAGAAAAAAATTTTGATAGATAGATAGATAGATAGATAAAGAACATATTTAGATAGATATATTGGATAGATAGAGATGAATATACTGTGATAGATAGATAGATAGATAGATAGATAGATAGATAGATAGATAAGAAACAGCTTTTGATAGATAGATAGATAGATAGATAGATAGATAGATAGATAGATAGATAAAGAACAGATTGATAGATATATAGGATAGATAAAGATGAATTTACTGTAATAGATAGATAACTAAGAAATAGATTTTGATAGATAGATAGATAGATAGATAGATAGATAGATAGATAGATAGATAGATAGGACGGGGATCACGCTCCAGACAATAGATGTCGATTGACATTACATCTAAATTGTTGAAGTTTACTACTCGAGGTTTATCCCTTGTTTCCGGTGTAAGATTCGTTTTTTTTGTTCCTTCTAAAGTTTTCTCGTTCTCTTTCACTTCCAGTAGCCCTTTGTGTCTGAGTGGCACTATCGCATTGGTTAGGGTGAAGTGATTTAAAAAAAAGAAAAAAGTACAAGGGTAGTAAAGGAAAGCGAGAAGAAAGGACTAAGCATCATTTGCAAGAAGACAGAATGCCTGGTTGTTAGTAAAAGAACAGGAGAATATGGGAACTATGTCGCAGAAGAAGCAAAATCAATCAAGTCGCATTGGAATAGAAAAAGATGGCTTCCAGAATCTAAGCAAAGTATTAAGAAACAATTTTATTAAAACTTCACAAATGTACATTTGAAAACTATATATCGACATATATGAAAGTAGATTAAATATTAAAAAAAAAATGTCACTTTTATCGGGGTCGCCATTACATCTCGGATTTTGGGCTAAGGTGAAAATATACTGTTCTTATCAGATTAATCTAATTCTTTCTCTCTCTCTCTCTCTCTCTCTCTCTCTTTCTTTCTTTCATTTTCTCATTGAAACCAAGTAGTGTCTTTTATCCTCTTTCCACGCAATCAAAACGCCGAATAGTCCATTATTATGAGGTATTGACAGGACGTAATGGCCGTGCTAACTAATGAGCGGACAGACAAGCACAATTATAATAGGATATATGAAGCGTTCGGTGGAAGGAGGTGCGTATTCAATTAAAAATAATCGAAAATTGCCTTTTTCACTGCAAATTCTTCATTATGTCATATCCAAGGATTTTACAAAAAATTAGAGCCGACAACAAAATATTTCAAGTTGATTTTAGGTTTATAGCTCGTAACCATGCAATGAGATGAGTTGCACGTGTTTATATACAAGAGCAAGAAAATCATTGGCTTATCAAGGCTTTTAAATTTGAGAACGTTCATGAATATTCATCAGATGGTTGAAAGGTCACTCAAAACATATGGAACATACAAAGTGCCATAATTCAAAGTCTGGTTAGACAAAAGTAAGAGAATATTATCCCCAAAAAGTTTTTTAATGAATGAATATTGTTTAAATTGTGATCAGATAGTTATGATGTGGAATGAACGTATGTGATGTACGTCTTTAAAAACGTCAGGTAATAGATTTAAGCGTTTTCTTTTTAATTTTCAACATATTTGTGATCGTGTATATATATATATATATATATATATATATATATATATATACGGCATGCACACATTAAATTGAAGAATACTAGAAAAACTCAATCTATACATGACGCAAATTCTTCATCATATCATATCCAAGTATTTAAAAAAATCAGAGCCGATGACACAATATTTCAAGCTCACTTTAGGTTTATAGTTGGTAACCATACAATGAGTTGAGGTAACATAAACCGTAAATTTGTCAGCGGAAGCTTATTCCATTATTGTTACATAATTATAGTAAAAACATTAAGGGTTTTTTTGCCAAAATTATTTCATATTTGGTCGTATTTAAAATATTCCTTTTTTTACAGACCTTATTTTTGAAATGGAATAAGATCCTTCTAAATTTCAGAATCTCGCTATTGCCCATCAAAATGACTGGAAGAAAGCGATCTAAAAACAACAATGGAAAAGAGAGGTAACAAAGTGTAAACGAAATAGTTCCAGTTTGTTCAACTTAGGAAACTTAGCATTGCAGCCAAAGTATTCTAAAATGATGCCAATAACAAAGGAGAAAATGAAAAATACCTCACATCAAATCGAATAGAGCATCAAAATTTATATTATTTTTATTTATTTGTTAGTTAACTAAAGATATCATTGTCAACAATGTTTCCGTAAAACTTGATATTTCCTGTAATAAATTCTTCATAAATGTTATTATTGTTATTATTTTACTTAAGTGTAAGGTAGTCCGACATTTACAATTCCTTCATGGCTAAAGCATGAAAAGAAATGTTGATCAAAACTGCCTAAAACCTTTAAGCGCATATTGCTGCAAAATTATCAAATATTCAATACGCCCCACTGCCGAACGCGTCACACACACAAACACACACACACACACACACACACATATATATATATATATATATATATATTAAAAGTATTAATCACTTGAAAAACCGTGGATGACTCAACTGAGGGCAAATTGGTACCCGAGGAAAAATTGTAATTAAAAAAAACTAAGAACTAAAAACATGAGAACAAGTATCTTAAGTCCTTAGTCCAAAGGAAAAAAAAAAACTCAGCTTGTATAAAGACAACAAAAGTGTAGTGGGCTCAATACGCTAAGAAGAGCGGTAAATTCTCTCCCTCTCTCTCCCTCCTTCTCTTCCTCCCTCTCTCTCTCCCTCTCCCTTCCTCTCTCTCCCTCTCTCGCCCTCTCTCTCTACCTCCCTCTCTTCCTCCCTCGATCTCTCTCCCTCTCTCCTCCTCTCTCTCCTTTTCTCTCTCTCCCCCTCTCTCTCCCTCTCCCCCTCTCTCCTTCTCTCCCTCTCTCCATCTCTCTCTCTCTCTCGCTCCATCTCTCTCTCTCTCTCTCTCTATATATATATATATATTAAATAAAAACAGACCACTTTAAGGTTCCATGTAATAATTTATTTCACCACAGCCCTTTTAAAAGGGCTCTGGATCATCAGACTTTACTTCTAAACAAAAAAAACGTTTAAATGTGTCAATATCTGCTCACTCATGTCTTCTCGTCTCTCTCTCTCCCCCCTCACTTCCTCACTTCGTTAATTTACACATATTCAATACGCCCCCCCTCCTCAGTGTGAAAGAAGCACAAATATAAAAAAAATTATTTTTGTTTATGCATTGAATGCAGGTCTGGTGCTTCTTCTATTCATCTTGAGGTTCTTGACAAAATCCAAATAAGGATCTGCAATATAATCAATCCTGACCTGGCATCTCGACTTCAGTCATTTTCTCACCGACGTGATGTGGCTTCTCTCTGTCTTTTCTACAAATATTTTCATGGCAACTGCTCTGACGAGCTTTTTTTTCCTGGTGCCCCGACTACATGAATTTAAGCGTGCTATTCGATTGGCATTTAGGTCCCACCCTTTTACTGTTGAAATAGTTAAATGCAACAACCACTTCTACTCCAACAGTTTCTTTTCTCGCACTTCCCGTTTGTGGAACTCCTTTCCTTTTTACTTACCTCCCTGATAAATAAAATCTTCCAAAATATAAGTGCAACGTCAATCTGTCGACTTGAACCCTGTTTATCTTTTATCCTTTCCTCACCCCCCATACCCAGTCTTGTCTCTCATTTTTACTCTCTGTAACCCCATGCGTATCACTGGCATTTCGCCTTACTTGGGGTGAAATGATTAAAAAAATAAAAGAATGCATACATTACTACCTTGCCTAAGTTCAGGACCCGACTAATGACCCTTATCCTTTTTTTTTTTACATTTGCTCTACTTTCCCTTTTTCATATATGTCTATATATATATATATATATATATATATACTTTTCAAATGTTCATTTGTAAAGTCTTAGAAATAGAAATCAAATAATAATAAAAAGAAAATAAACCTATGCAAGAATGGAAAAATTTAACCCAAAATAATCTTAGGCAAGATCTACCAAAATCCCCAAAATGGAAATCCCCAGGAAAAGACTATTTTTGGTTCTATCTTCTGTCAGCAATTCATAAAACTCTTGCACGAATTCATAAGCCCAATGAAGGGAAGTGGAAAAATCAGGCGTGGCTGACCACATATGGAGAGAGAAGGCAGATCACCGCCCTCTGTGGGATCAGGTTGAAATCATAGACAAAGAACATCATTGGAAAATTCGTAAACTTAAGGAATCAGCACATGTGCTCGGCCACAAAAATCTCCTGAGCCGACCAAGCATAGAAATGAATACAATATGGGAACCAGTAATAAGGAGTGCCAGAGAAAAGCGATAACAACAAAAATTGCAATATGAGCTCTGGAAAAACATGCAATGATAAAAACAAAAATGGCAATATGAGCACTGGTAAAAATGGTTGTTGAAGGTTTATAATACCCAGAAATTCATACGCAGATGTCCTCAAGGACGCATAGCTCAGTGGATAAAGGCGTTGGTTAGATCCAGTAACAAGACCCAAAGAATGTGAGTTCAATAACTGGTTAAGGAAGTGGAGAATTTTCAGAGGGGAATTAACAAGGAGATAACTGATAACTGACATCCATCAAACATGGCACGTGGAACTAGAACAGTCTAAACCAGTGAGCAGAATAAAAGGTTCAATGAAATTCAAAAAAGAATCAATGAAGCTACTATATATCTCCTACCTAAAGCGGGAGAAACAGATGATTCAAAAAATGATAGGCCCAAAATATGTCTGTTCACGAACATATTAATTGATCACGTCTGTTTACCAAGAAGTCTTATGAAATGAAATGAAATTAAATTAAAGAAATTATTAAACCGTGAAGTAGAGTTTTTGTCAAAGTATTTTTCCAAACAAATCAGGTTATACAAATTTCATCGATTAGTTTTCAAAATACAGAGTTTGTAAATCTCGACAAAAAATGTTAGCGATAACTTCAACAATACTAAATACTGTGACGCGTGTTGCAAAAGAAATCCTCGTGTACATCTCTCTCTCTCTCTCTCTCTATATATATATATATATATATATATATATATATATATATATATGGAGAGAGACAGAAAGAAAGAAATAAACAGATGAAGAAGAGACGTTTTGAGTCTATTTATAAACGGTTTCGTATCTGTTGGAATAGAAACGGTTTAGCCAAAGCCCTTTGCGGGAAGATCAAGCTAATACAAAGTCGGGTTTAAAAGCTCAACTTAGTTGTTTGATAAATATCTTTGAGAAGCGAAAGTTGTCGAAAGTCATATCAGTTCGACAGCCACTATGAGGAAAGTTTCAATGTGTTGTGCGTTAGACAGAAATTACCAAATATAGATATATAGACAGGTAGATAAACAGTAGGCTGAAATAGACACACACACACACACACATACACACACACATATATATATATATATATATATATATATATATATATATATATATATATATATATATATATATATATAAAAAAAATTTTATGTTTAACGTTCTTTTTTATTTATAGAAACAAGTATTTAACGTAAATGCTCTGTTTAAAATAAACAGTATTAAACTGAATTTACCGGCCTGAATGTCGAACAAGAAATTTTTTCTTAGAAAATATTCGTCCTTTGACATTGCTATTCGAAATGCAAATACGGAACCGTCACATTTACGCAGTTTTAAATTAAACTGTCAAAGAACGAAATATTTTTTTATGGAAAATCGGTTTTTTTATTCTCGGTAAATGTTATTTAATACTGTTTATCATAAACAGAGCATTTGCTTAAATACAGAAATATCTTTAAATAAAATGTTAAACATAAAAAATGTTTTTTTAATAAATAAATTTTGTCGGAAATTTTTTTTAAATATTTTATATATATATATATATATATATATATATATATATATATATATATATATATATATATATATATATATATATAGAGAGAAGAGAGAGAGAGAGAGAAAAAATGTATATGCGAATGGTAATATTAACCGTTTCCTTATAAGGAAACATTCGACATTCATTGACCGAGCAGCCAGTGCACTGTCGGTTAAAAGTCTTTTTATCAAAACCATTTTCAGTTTCTCAAGTCGAGTAACTGTTATAGCTCTTTCCAGTATCGATGGGTACTTTCCGTCCTAACCTTTGTTTTAAAATAGTGTGGAAAGACAATACCATGATTATGCCAATGTGTTCTCTGAAGGTCACGTCCGATCCATTTTAGTTGCTGCTGTTGCTGGAAGGTCTCGCAATTATTTTTGTATTATTTGGTACAGTCCTTTATGACTTTGTAGCACACACGTTTTGAAGGAGGATGATCCTCGATGAGACCTACAGGCTTCATTCGCTTGGAAACAATTTTAATCATTTCATGCGGTTTCATACAGCTGCCATTCTAGATATTTCTGAGAAATCTGTCTATATCTCTGAGATGAGGTATTATAATTACTTGCATTATTTACATTATTCGGACTATTGACCTCATCTTCACTGCTATATTCATACAGATCCTGGAATATTATGGCTAGGATTTATGAAACAAATCCATCCAAACTTTCATTCCCTCTAATGATTCCATATCTAGTGATATAGCAAATACTAAAAGCATCTATAGAAATTCACTGCAAATGATTTTACTATAGGAAAGCATTAGAAATGATTTGAATACTTTTTATGGAACCTGGAATATTATGGCTAGGATTTATGAAACATATCCATCCAAACTTTCATTCCCTCTAATGATTCCATATCTAGTGATATAGCAAATACTAAAAACATCGATAGAAATTCATTGCAAATGATTTTACTATAGGAATGCATTAGAAATGATTTTACTATAGAAATGCATTAGAAATGATTTGAATACTAGCTTTTTATGGAACCTGGAATATTATGGCTAGGATTTATGAAACATATCCATCCAAACTTTTATTCCTCTAATGATTCCATATCTAGTGATATAGCAAATATTAAAAGCATCTATAGAAATTCATTAAAAATGATTTTACTATAGGAATGCATTAGAAATGATTTGAATACTAGCTCTTTATGGAACCTGGAATATTATGGCTAGGATTTATGGAATCAGGGTAACCATATCGAATTTTTTAATAAAACCTCATTCTAAACACTTTCCCTCTCATATCCATTTTTTTAAACATTATAGTTAATAAGTATTTT